AAAAGCATCTTATAGCGGTGAAAGGCTGAAAGAAGTTATTAAAAGAGGAATTTTTCATTGTGTGGGGTACACTGCAGAAAGTATGTTTTATAACAGCTTTTAGTTACGTACAGGGCATCTCCAAGTCGTACACTCTCGAGTAGAGCGCTATAATTTGATTCATTAATTTTTTCTTGCCATGTCTTCTTTTCCATAATCCGTTTGTGCGTTGAGGCAAATTATTGTGTAGGACTTTGGGATTTGCAGTTAATACAAGCAGCAGCAGGCGACGGCAGACGAGATTTATGTTAAGTGGGCAGACATTGGAGCTATGTAGTCGGGCATCTGGCGGCACTTACTATTCCCTGCTCCTTGCTTATTCCCTACTCTTAGCACCCAGCCACTCCCCCCTTTTGGCTGGCAGCTAGCAATAAAAATGTCGTTGCGCAATAAAAATCGAATTGTATCCCATTTTTATATATTATTTTTTTGTTGCGCCCGACAGTTGCAGCTGCGCTCAGCCGTAAAGCGTAAGCCCAGTATTCCCCCCCCGAGTGAACCCCTTCGATCTGGAAACTCTTTAACTTAACTGAACAAGCAGTTGGCTCTATGGGGAGCAGAACTCGGTATAGACTGCGTTTATGAGACCCAGCAGCTGCACAGGACTTGAGACTCCTTTACCAACACACCTACCCCACCCCCTTGCTACGCCTTTCCACTCACACACACACTCACACACATACCGGCAGCCAAATCTAATCAAATGGCGCAAATTGCCGGATTTGGTTGAACTGACAGAGCGAAGATTTATTTTCATATCCAACATTTGCTGCCACAAGCGACACGACTCAGATACTCCCGAGCAGACTCAGATAGAGTCAGCTAAGCCCCGGTATGCCGCCTGCCCGCCTACACCCGTCGACTTCTCTTATCGTCAAGCTTCTATTGCTATTTGTTCCTTAGCGGCACGCCTAAATGCATCCAACGCCGAAAAGCAAATGCAAAACTTCTTGAACTTTGGCCCCGCATATGGTTATCATTCGAGAACTTTTACTTAAACAGCTTTCAGATAGCCCGTTTGCTGGATGGTCTGGTTGTGTCGCTATGGCTTAAATAAACTTAACTTTTTTATTTTTTTGTTTATTTCTCGTTTATTTTAAACGCCACCAAATTTTATGGCTGAAGTTTTAGAACAGAAACTTGAAACCGAAACTACTTGGGCGCAGTTAATACGTTGATTCGCTGTTCGGCTTAGCTGCTGCCTGGCTACACTATCCTACAAATCTTGCATAGTTGGCAAAGTGTCGGTATAAATGCTTTGACTTTTACCAACTCAAAGAAGAAGCAATAAGTTGCTTGAACTAAAACTTCTTTTAAAATGATTACACACAGATTTGTTATTGAATGGGAATCTCCCTTAAAGTTTTATTTCCAGGCAGCCTTATCAAAAAGTAGTTCACTTAGATTGGTTCCTCCTTATAGTCCGATTGTCGACCTGAATATAATGCTATACTATTACATTTGCTTGCTCCTAATTAAAATGATTCCAGTACCAAGTTTGAACCCGCTATATTACATGTTTTTATATGAATGTATGCATGTATGTGGTAATTTTTGCATATACGTACATATGTATGTGTGTGTATGTGCATATAAATGTATGAATGTAGACTTGGTAATATATTTCTATGTATGTATGCATGTGTATATAAATGCATGCATGTATGTATGTATGCGTGCATGTGTGTATGTCTGTATGTAATCCTATGCCAAACTGAGACCATTTTACTTGACGCTGCAATTTAAATAAAAAGTATTAAATATTGCCCTTCTACTCGATTCTCATAAATTCAAGTAAGCCTAACAGGTTTTCATGCTATAGGTTTAAGTGATAAGTGTGAAGTGATTAGTTTTTGGCAATCAAATAGGATTTGTACATGTCTGCGTGTGTGTAAAGGTATGTATGTAAGTCTGTATATATGTATGTATGTATGTTTGTATGTATGTCTGAATGTTTATATGTATGTATGTATGTGTATGTATCCATTGGTTATTGTATATATGTATGTATTGGCTAAACCGCTGTTTGATTCTAGGGCTCGAAACTGCCAAAATGTTTTTTTTTATGACTTTATGTATGTAGGTGCTTGTTTGTGTGTGTCAGGTTTCTGGTCAGGTGAGGAGAAGCATACACTTTGGCATTTTATATGCAACGCGTCCAATAACCTGAGTTTTCGTTTGTTATTTTGGGCAGTCTATTTATTTTTAACATTCACCAGCTGAGCTTCAGGGGGCATTAGACGTTGCTTGAGGTTGCAAGTGGTCGCATGCCGCCGGCATTGAGCGAGAATTCGAATCGGGTTCCTCGACCTGCAAACACATCCCGAACATTGAACATTGGGCAATTGACCCATTTGCGTAGTGCCACAAGTCAAAGTGGCAACTAATAATGCAATAGCTGACAAGAGGCAGTTGCCGCTTGCCACTTGCCACTTGCCACTTGGTCACGAGTGGCATTCAGCATGCTTCCGGGTTTGCTTTGGTTGTCAGTTGCCGTTTGTGGTGACCAGCCTCGAGGGCAACCTGATAAGTTGGCGTGTCAAATGAAGCTATTTCCTCCATGTCCTGCGTTTCCGTTGTCTCTGTTTCTCGTTGCCCCCTCCCCCCCTCCCTTTTTTCTCTTCTCTCCCCTCTCTTTATTTTTGTATTCTCAGCCATCGTCTTCTACCATTACTTGCAAACTGTTGTGTACCCATAAAGAAGAAATATGTACTTTGAATCTGCCCTATCGTCCCTGCCCCAGTCCTTGCCCCCAGGCATTGCTCGCATGCCTTGCTCAACTGCAGCACAGCCAAGTGTTAAATGCATGCCATAGTCTGCCTCAAATGGTTGCGTTTAATTACACAAGTTTTTGCGCCACTGCGCCTCATAATTTTACCACGCGCTTGACAGTCCTTTGGCCCTTTGGGTCTGGAGTCCTGTGCACCGGCTAGACTAGCTCGTTATGTGCGCAACAAGCACATCCGATTATAAATAATAGCTAGTTGTAGTTGGACTCTCGCTACTTAACCTAACAACATGTCTGTATCAACTGGTTCCAACAAGTATTTAATTCGATTCTGTCTTTTACTTCTCTGTCTTAATTTGAACAGTATATGAGGAATTGAACCTTTGCATTAAGCCAGTTCTCGTTCAAATTTTTGCTGGAAATTTCCTGCACATGTTCCAGTCGTACTACATCTAGCAAATCTTCCGTTTTTCATATTACCTAGATTTCTGTCTGAGGTTCTGAAGATAAATGTTAGACTTTTTATTACAAAATATTTGAACCTCCGACTTATCTGAGTTTTTGCTGCCTTAAGCTAAAATTTTCTTCCGATTTGCCGCAGTTTTGAACCTTCTTTGAGGAAGGTTCCTCACATAGGAACCACATACAGAGCAATCCCAGCAGAAGTAAACTTTTTCCATTAACTATTAACTTGATCTCCACCTCAGTTGAACTAACTGCTGGAAACTTGCTTACTTCTCACCAAGTTCTTACCACTTGCTCGCTGTTCAGCAAATTCTGCGAAACAGGAGTCATATGTAACCATTAGTCCTGGCAAAGGAACGTTGCATTTTACGGCCGCAGCTTAGCGCAAATTTAATTGAATTTTCAAAGTCTTTTTTTTTTGCACTGTCTGAGAAACTTTTTCGCTTTACTGGGTATTGGGGCAGGCTAAGGGGATTTCCCAAGTGGGCGGGTTGGCGGGCTTACCTGACAAAGCTTTTTCTAACACTTGTTTCCACTTTGTATGCTTGCAGGTGCGTGCTATGGAGCAGCGGCTCAGTGAATGGCCAAAGCCACCAGCACAACAACAACAACAGCAACAACAACAACAACAACAACATTCTCAGCAGGGCACAGCGACTAGCTCTCCCGTACACCAACAACAGCAACAGGCAATCGCCGCTGCAGCTTTGGCCGCTGCCTGTCAGCAGAGCGTCTTGGCCAGCAGCACAGGCGGGCCAGGGGGCTTAGGCGTTGGAGTCTGTCTGCCCAGCAACGAGGCGGAGAAGACAATTAACTCATTGGAGTTTCAAGTAGAGGAGCAGAGGCAGCTGCGCCTGCATGACGCACGCCAGATCGAGGCAAAGGCCGCCAAGATCAAGGAGTGGGTGAACAATAAGCTGCGAGATCTCGAGGAACAGAATCAATTGCTGCGTGAACAGAATATCAAGTGTAATCAGCAGCTGGAGTTGCTCAAGAATCACATTGCCAACCAATCGCAGCGGCACAGCATTGTGGGACCTGTGCGGAATAGCCTGAGCTTGGATGTGCAGGACTTTGCAAATACGCCGGAGACGCGACGACGCAGTGAGAGCCTCGATCCACAGGAGATCATTAGCCGGCCATTGACCAGCTCCTATCCGCATCATCAGCATCGACGCAATCTATCCATGGAGCCGCAGGAGCTCGAGCGCAATCTGGTAGCGGCCGTCGATGGCCTTACCCTGGCGCCGCTCTCCAGTATCTCCAGCAAGGCAGCGCAGTCCGCTGCTGTGGCGAGCACCCGGCCAGATAGCTCCGATACGGACACGGCGCACGACTATGCGGAAATCTATACGCCCTCATGCGAGAAGCTGCCCGCCTGGATGAAGAACAATCCGGCTCTAATGGCCAGCGGCGGCAATTCGAGCACAACAACGACCACAACCAGCGAACTGGGCGTGCCAAGACCGCCGACGCCGCCGCTGCATCGCTTTCCCAGCTGGGAGGCCAAGATCTATCAGGTGGCCAACGATGGACTTGCCGGCACCGGCACCAGCACCGCGGAGAGCACCGCCAGCAATGAGCCAACCCCGGATGTGCAGCAGGAGCACAGCCTGACCCTATCGAATGGACGAGCCAGGCATGGCCATGATGCGAATGGCACGCTGGGCAGCAGCGGCACACCGGGCACACCCCAGCCGCCGACGCGACAGCAACAAACCGCCAGCGGCGGCTTCTGTGATATATCCGTGCCCGTTTATGCCACGGTCAAGGGGCGTGCCTCTCAAATACGCTCGATGCCCTTCACGGGCGACTCCAGTGATGATTCCAGCGATGGCGAGGATCATGCCGTTATGCTTACACACAATTCGCACAACTCATCCAGCACGGACAACACGGAGACCTCCACATCTGGCAGCGCATCGAGCCCCTCAAAGAGCCTAAAGACCTCCTCGAGCCTCAGCCCAGCCAAACGCAGCGGCTCCGAGAGCCCCAAAAATGCCAAGGCCCGTGGTATGTACGAACCCTCAAAACCCCCTCTCTCCTAGCACGCGCATCTGCCCAGTAAACCAGTAAACCTGTAAAGCGTAGTGGTAGCGGTAACTCAACATAAGAAACCACACTAATAACAGCACTAACCCCAAACCACCAGAGCAACAACCCCCCCCCCCCATCTTGAACACTATCAATCATCAAACAACTATCCTAACTAAAATTATCCTGGCTTCTTAGTCCCGTACAGTTGCCCAAGCTTCAATCGGCTTTTGTTCTCTCTGTCCTGCATTTAATTACATCAGTTCACATTTTTCACAGCAAAATCATATTCCCGAGAACATCCTTTGTCAACCCAAAAACTATCATTTCCCCAATGCATTATATTTGTTATTTCCTTCATGTTAAAAGGTCAATGGTCATGTGATCCGTTTATTTATTTCTAGAATCTCCCAGTTCTGTTATTAAAAGACTTAGCCAGCTGCCCTTGCCTTGTCCTCAGCCCGAAGCTAAAACCACTTGAGAATTATAAGCAACGAAAAGTGTTATAGCTTTTATTTTTCATTTTAAGAGTTAACTGGTCAGGTTTTCTGCATAGCTATGTCAAGAAGCTCCCAGTATATTATGAACAGACTTCGCCAGCCTTGCCGTGTCCTTAGCCCAACTTGAGAATTATAAGCAACAAAAAATTCTAAAGCTTTCTTAAAAAGAGCTCAATGGTCAGATTGTATGTATAGCTATTAAAAGAACCTCCCGGTTCTATTATCACCAGAGCTAGCTATTTGCCCTTGCCTTGTCCTCAGCCATAACCACTTGAGAATTATAAACAACGAAAATGAGACAAATCTCGACGTTTATACCTTGTTGTTGTTGGTCGTTACGGCCAACTTTAATTTAAAATTTAGTTAATATTAAACAAGAACATAAAACATTCTGTCATTGTTTAATTTATTTGTTTGATCTTTTATTTAACTCTTGTTTTTCCTGTCACAGTAACATGTACTTAAAAGTCTAAAGTATTAAAGCTAGATTACATATTTATTTCATTAACATTCGTAGCATTTTATTTTAATTGTTATTGTATTCAATTCATTTATATACTTAATTATTGTCTGTGTTCGACTAATTCACATACCCTTGACATTTCTCGAGGATTATAACAAAGTTGAGTGAATATTATTTGCTTCTTATATCCGATATCTTTTCTTACATTTTTTTGACCTTATTGTTGAACAATTTATTTAAACAATCATATATTGTTTTCTTGTATTCTATAGTCTTTCCTGATCTCTATCTACCACATATGTAGACAATTCTTGTATTATTTCATAATTGCATTGCATTTGGCTTCTACTTTTCTTCTTCTAACCTAATTCCTTACAGCCCTGTAGCATATTTGATTTAAGGTCTGAAAGAATCCCAAACTCCAGTCTTAAAAAAAATACTCTATTAAAAATAGTTTTCAATGGATTTTCTAAGAACTATTTGAACTGGTTGCATCTTCTACCTGCGCCTCGCCCTTCATCTCGATATATGTGGCCACTATTAACCTCCATAATTTCCCATTCACCCCGCCATTAACCACACACACACACACACACGCACACGCACACTCGCACACCTCCACATAACAGTCCACACGCGCATCCCCACACAGCAACAACAACAACAACATCAAGCACACCATTATCAGCATCATCAGACGCTGCCACACCCACAGGCGCCGGCGCTGGCGCCCGTGAAGAGTGTACAGAGCACTCTGCCACGCCTATATACGCCCACTACCACTGGCGCGCAGCTGACGCAACTGCGCGTGAGCCCCCACATGCGTGGCACAGTAATTTCAGATCTTTCCTTTGAATCAGGCCTCTCCGATGACTACGCGCTGCCCCCCGATGCCGTCTCGGAATCGACATGCATGGACGCCTCGATGCCGTCGCTATTGATGCGCCAATCCTACGTGGACTCGCCCAGCAAGAAGCTCGAATCTCTGGAGAAGGTGAGCATAACGAATTTATTATCTACGATTTTATCTAACTCCTACCCTACCCTCTCTTAGATGGGTCACCTGGCCAAGCTGGGCGGCAAGCTGAAGACCTGGCGCAAACGCTGGTTCGTCCTGAAGAACGGCACGCTCAACTACTGGAAGAGTCAGCACGACGTGCAGCGCAAGCCGCAAGGCCAAATACTGCTGGACGAGGCTTGTCGCATTAGCCGGGCGGAGGGCGCCTCCACCTTTGAGATCGATACGGGCAAGAAGGTCTATTACCTGACCGCCGACTCGCATGCCACCATGGACGACTGGATACGCGTCCTGCAGAATGTGCAGCGTCGCAATGCGACCAAACTGCTGCTCAGTCGCGATGATCAGAAGCCGACAGTCCAGGGCTGGGTGACCAAGGTGAAGAACGGACATGCCAAAAAGTGCTGGTGCGTCCTACTGGGCAAGATGTTCCTCTACTTCAAGGCGCCCGTAGAGACGGTAAGTGCAATGCCAAGCCACAAGCCTTAGACTACAACTGATATCACAAATCCCGTTTATATCCTACAGAATCCGCTGGGTCAGATCAATATGCGCGATGCGCGCGTGGAAGAAGTTGAGCATGTTTCCGATTCCGACTCGGAGGAGCGCGAGGATGCGGCACAGGATCAGGCGCGTCTCACTGTCGCCATCTACCCGGCGCATCAGGGTCCCACGTATCTGATTCTATCCGGCAAGCCGGAGCGCGACAATTGGCTATACCATTTGACCGTCGTCTCGGGCGGCGGACCCAGTGCGGGTACACAGTACGAGCAGCTGGTCCAAAAGCTCATGGAAACCGATGGAGATCCAAGTAAGTGCAGCATAATAGCATAATGTGGACGCATCTTCACAAAGTCAATTTCAACTCTGATATAGACTGTGTGCTCTGGCGCCATCCCATACTGCTGCACACCAAAGATACGATCACAGCTCCACTCTCCTCCATGCACACGGAGACCATGCAACCGGAGGCCATAAAGCTATTCAAGGTAAGCTCACAGCCGGACTTCAAGATTTGCTTCTTCAATATACATATGCATACATATGCATGTCCTCTGCCCTCCACAGAGCATTCAGCTGTTCATGTCGGTGGCCGTCAATCAGCCCGGCATCGATTATCATGTGGTGCTCGCCCAGAATGCCCTGCAGCATTGCCTGGACATGCCGGAGCTACAGACCGAAATGATCTGCATTCTGATCAAGCAAACCTCCCGACATATGGGCCAGAAACTAAGTGTCGGTGTCCAGGTAAACAAGAAACTGGGCAAGCAAACGCGCGTAAGTTTTTCAGTTGCAAAGCTTCTTATCCCTCAAAAAGCTCTTTTAGTTCTGACCCGACTTTTCCCCCGTTTGCTGTTAATATTCTCATTTACCTTATAATTTCCATATGATTCTTCAGACTAATCCAGTAACTAACTAGTTGGGTACATGTCTTGCACTTGGCTCTACGAATCCCAATCAGAATAGTGGCAACATTAAAAAGCTCTAGAAAAGCTACGGTTCGTCAATTGGCGAAACTTTTTTCAAAAACTTGAACGCCACTTCGATTTTAACTCATATTTACCCCAAAGCTTTTTTCACAAAAAGCTCGCATTAGCCTTAAAAGCTTCTCGCCTGATGCAGCTTTACTTTGCAGACGTTACCCAACCCTAAAAATTTCATGAAACTAGGTATCGTATGTCAAGTACTACCCAAGTTTTGTATTCTACTGCTTTATTTTTATTGCCTAAAAATGCATCGCTTCAGTACAACGATCAGAGACATTTGGCCAGCTTTAAAAAAGCTTTGCTTACATTTAAAAAGCTTACGAACGCTTTATAATCAATGATAAATACTTATTATAATCGTTAAGTTATACATACATACATACCTATAAGACATGCCTACTATTATATCACACTCAAGCATTATTCTGTTCATCTGTTTTTCTGCATGTTCTCGTTAATCTTAACCAATTGCTCGATTATTATCGTCTCTTTTTTTTTGTGTGTGCGTGTGTGTGTGTGTGTGCATTGTTTTTATTTGTTTTTCAAGTAGTGAACAGACAATAAATTTCCCCCATAACTGTCATACTTTATCTATTACTCAAATATTAGTATGTGTACACATATCCACATACATGATCTCTCAAGTACATATTTAGCTTTCAAGACCAAAACAAGCAGCAAAAAAAAAATAAAAAAAAAAACGATAAAAATTATTTCCATGTGTATAGTTTTTATCTAATTATTTTTGATTCGTTATCAGTATGTGTTAAGTATTTGCTGTAAATTTCTTACATACTCTACAATCTACATACTCTACCAACCTACTAGGTACATACATACATACATACATACATACATTCAACACACCTCACTCGAAACAAACCCTACATACAAGCCATTCCCTACCCAACCGCTCAACCTACATACATGTACATACATGAAAAGGAAACAACCCAAATCACTTACACAACAGCAACTCGAGTTAAAAGTATATACTTTTACGCTCAGTGTATACGTATACTACTCGAATACTCTCTCTACCACACGCACTCACTCTCTGTCTCTCTCACTCACTCTTTCTCTCTCTCTCTCTCTCTCTCATGTGCTACGTTTATACGCAGCTCACTTAACGTAATAAGAACTTTGCCAAGAAAGAACAGCGTATCTAATAAGTTATCGATTTAATATCGATTTGCGATAAGTTCTCAATCACGTTTAAGGTGGCCACGCATAAATCGTGCATTGTATTCATAATTGTCTCCCACTTTATTGATCTTTAGCGTTTTCTAACTCGTTTATGGTTTGTCCCTTTCTGTTGTTCAATTTGCGCCTAGTTTGCTGCTATCATTATTTTTCAATGGCTTTGAATGTTTCGTATAAAGTTTATTCATTTCCTTTGCAAGTTGCGCTTCTTAAAAAAAATGAGAACTACCTTTGTATAGCGTGTCATTCATATACATTAAGGCTACTCTGTAAAAAAAGAACAAAATCACAACATCAAAAAAAAACAGCACATGGAAAAAAAAAACAAACTCAACTCTGTGTTCAGCTAAACAGCAAAAAATTGATCAGCAAACGTTTTTTGGCTTTTCTTCTATTCTTCTATTCTGTTTCTTTTCGTTTTGAAACGTTTTTCGTTTCGTTTGTATGTGTATCGAACCAAATCCAATACCGATAACCGTAAACCGTAAATACCAACCGTTTTCCAACACTGTACGTAAACCATTTGACGACAACGACGACAACGCTCACGAAATTTACAGCAACTACTATTGTGCGCCACCCAAAGCCTGTTCACCTGTGATACCCAACAGGCAGGCCAAGCTCAAGCCAACGGCAGTTCGCCCACATCAATACAGGTATGAGGGGAAATTTGTCTTGTCATTCGATAATCGATATACGATAAACCATATTCGATATACGATACACGATTTCTTTATTATCGTGTGTCCCAAGTTGTACGATTGCTTTCAGTTATTGTAGTCAATTGTAGAGTTGCCAAATCCATAACTCAAGATGATCTCATCTTCAACTGACTCTCTCACTCTCTCTCGCTGTCTATCTGTGTTGTTCTTGAACAGGCGCCCGTTTCTACGCCCATCATCGACTGCAAGTCAAATCCGCCCGCGTACAGCTTTGTTCAGGGCTGGCAACTACTCGCTCTGGCCGTCTCATTGTTTGTGCCCAAATCCAGTCGCCTGCTCTGGTATCTAAAGTTGCATTTGTCCCGCAATGCGGACACCAAAACGGAGACGGGCAAATATGCCGCCTATTGTGAGCGGGCACTGGAGCGCACCCTGAAGAACGGGGGACGCGAGACGAAGCCGTCCCGCATGGAGGTCCTTTCCATACTGCTGAAGAATCCATATCATCACTCCCTGCCGCATGCCATACCCGTACACATGATGAACACCACGTATCAGGTAAGCAGCAAACGTGAACTGTTTCACCAAATCTAACTAAGTAGTTCTTATTGTTTGGTTTTGCTTTCTCAATAATTTTAAGATAGGATCACCTGCGGATTACTTTTCGGGAGCTCGTTTTTTGTGGAAAATAAACTATTTTTGTGAACTAGTTCACACCAAAACTAGCCAACTAGTCAGCGGTGATCTCATATTCATTCATTAACTGCGTATGTAGTTTCTTATTAGCCGCTTAGTTCTCTGAACTAGTTCTCACAAACTAAATGGCTTGTTTATAAGCTTATAACTTATAAATTTACTACCCAACCTGTGAGTGCTTTGAACAGCGTCTTATTATTTGTTGAGCTGGTTCACAAGCACAAAAGTTCACTAGTTCCCTAGTCGCAATTTCCTTTCATGAACTGTTATACCTGTTAATTATATAGCCTTCTAGATCTTTAGTTTGTAAACTGTGCATTAGGGATTATAAAACCGATTTAGAGAGAATTTCGTATGTACTTGAACGTTCAGTGAACTAGTTCAATTCTTATTTGTTTAGCTGGTTCACAAGCACAAAAGTTCACTAGTTCTCTAGGCGCATTTTCCATTCGTGAACTGCTTTACTTGTTAATTAAATATCCTTCTAGTTTTTTAGTTTGTGGACTATCATTAGGGATTATAAAACAGATTTAGGGAGAATTTCGTATTGATTTTTATGTTCAGTGAACTAAATCAATTCTAATTTGAATATCAACGCTTTGCAGGTGGTTTCCTTCGACGGCTCCACCACCATCGAGGAGTTCCAAACAACACTGGCCCAGGAGCTGGGCACCCGCGATGCCAACAACGGATTTTGCCTATTTAGCGATGATCCCATTGAAAAGGATCTGGAACACTATCTGGAGCCACTGGCCAAGCTGTGCGATGTGATCAGCAAGTGGGAGACGGCGCTGCGCGAGAAGGGATCCGGCAAGTTCGAGAATTCGCGGGTCATTCAGCTGAGCTACAAGAACAGACTCTACTGGAAGCACACCATCAAGTGCGAGACGGACAAGGAGCGACTGCTGCTGTGCTACCAGACCAATGCCCAGATTGTGCAGGGCCGCTTTCCGCTCTCACGCGAGCTGGCCCTGGAGCTGGCCTCGCTGATGTCGCAGATCGACATGGGCGACTACACGCACGAGAAGTCACGCGATGTCGGGCTCAAGGCGCTGGACAAGTTCTATCCGTATCGGTATCGGGATGCTCTCGGCGCCGAGCAGCTAAAGGATGTACAGGAACTGCTCATATCCAAGTGGACGCTGCTCAAGGGACGCTCCACGCTCGACTGCGTGCGCATCTATCTGACCTGCTGCCGCAAATGGCCCTACTTCGGCGCCTGCCTATTCCAGGCCAAGCCGCGCCAGTGCGAGCCACATGCGGCCACCGGCACGCCCGTCGCCTGGCTGGCCGTTGCCGAGGATGCACTCAATGTGCTCGAGCTGTCCACAATGGCACCTGTGGCGCGTTATCCGTACAGCACCGTGATGACCTTCGGCGGCTGCCAGGATGACTTCATGCTCGTCGTCTCGCACGACGACGGCACCCTCGCGGGCGGCTGCGAGCAGAAGCTGCTCTTTGCCATGAGCAAACCGAAGATATTGGAGATCACGCTGCTCATTGCGGACTACATGAATGCGCTGGGGCATACGGTGCCCGGCACACCGCAGATGAATTCGCTCACCCGCAACGGTTCGCATCGTTCGCTGCGCACCTCCCAGCGACCCGGCGCTGGTCCTGGCGGTTGTCCTGCTGGTGCTGGTGTCGGTGTCGTTGGCCTCACTGCTGTCGGCGCCGCCGGCAGCATAACGGGCTTCTCCACGAATGCAACCACAACGGCCCACAACACGCTCAACTCGCATGCAACCCACACGCTCAACTCGACCCACTCGCACACGCTGAGCAGCTCGCATCACGCCGCCGCTGGTGCCGTCGGTGGTGCCGGTGTCGGTGGAGGCGGTAGCGGCAGCCATCAGGGCACGCTCAACTCGCAGACGGGTGGCCATCATCATCATCATCATCATCCTCATCCGCATCCGCATCCGCATCAGCCGGATATACTGAAGAGCACGCCCGACCATCAGCGGATCAAGTGAGCTGCGAACAGGATCAGGCCGTGCACAGGAATGCACACGTAAACACTCATACATACATGCATATGCATATGTATTTGAGACCCATGCGTATAGAGGAGCACTTAGAACGCATTGCGTAGTGTTAGCAACGCCGTCAGATATGCCGGTCTCTTACACTTTACGCGCTACTCAACACTTAACAAAAAAGTTCTTTCCTAAGCTAAGCTAATAACGGTACTCGTACTCTAAAGCCCATACAAGCATACCTATATATGCGTATATTGTAAACAGATTTTTTTTTAATAGCTATAAGCCGTACCCCGCGATAGGTACATACTACATATATTCTATATATATATATATATATGTATATATACATATATATATATGTATATTATTTAATGTGTGTGTATATTTCTGCTCCTTCTATGGATATTCTTTTGAGATTTTTCTTCTCGTTCTTTTTTCCGTCTCAATCTTCTGCTGTCACCTATGTATACTCGTACTGTTACTATATTCGATATTCTTGCTAATCAGTGCTTCGTCGTGAATCTCACCTTGTCCCTCCATGCTCAAAAACTGCCTTTGAATGTAGAAGACGAAGAAGACAACAACAAACCAAGATAACGAAACAAGCCAAAAATAAAAACAACAAAATTAACTAACATTAGCTAAAGCAGAATTTGCAATAAGCATTAGGTTTACCCATGAGCACCAGGGTGGAAGATTTAACAATTGTATGACCATATTTTGTATAGAATTTTTCATGCCCAGACATAGGATACCATTTTTTTTTTGTATATTTTTTTTTTAAACTTAAACGAAAGGTAATTGAGGAATTAGAAAACATATATAGCATAGCACTAGATACCATACGTATACATATATAGGCTCATGTCAGTCGTGTTAGTTTTGCGTAGAGAGCACATTATATATTAATGTTGTCTAGTTATGATGTGAAAGGAAGTGTTCATATTATAAACCATATAATACATGGGATTTTTTTTTTTAATATTATTTAAATATTTTATTGTATATTGGTTTTTTTTTTTGTGTCCCGTCACTTTACAGCAAAAAATATGTTTTTTTTCTATATATATTTAAATTCTAAAAATGTTAACAACAAAATATATTTGTAAAAGTAATAAATAGCCAACCGAACACAGCCAGAGCTTCTAGTAAAAATAACAAATTTAAGCAAATGTAACAATTGCAATTGATTTACAACATAGAAACGTTCTTTTGTAATTTACACAAAAGAAACATCCAGAGAAACAAGATAAAAAAATTGACAAAAAAGGAAATAATTGTATACATATATTTAAATTTATATAGAAAAACAAATTCCCAAGTAGTTTATACACTCAAAACAAAATGCATAAAGCTTAAAGCAGCTACAACAAAAGATTAATAAAACACATGCAACGCTTTTAATATATTCAAATTTGAAACAACATAAAATTAAAACTGCTCCCTGTCGATTGGCCATTTTTACTAAGTATTTTTCAAAGCGCTTTGGAATATCATTTTGAATTTTGTTAAATCAACTTTTAATAAAGTAAAGTATACACATAAATATATATATATATATATACGGTACACACATATATTTAACAAATTGAAAATTATATACAAGCATTGCAAAACTGTGTAAATGATAACAGCGCATTTTTTTCCTAATTGTAAAAATTTGATATTAAAAATTTATATGCAAAATCGCAAACCAATAGGCGGCATTCAACTATACACATATATATATATACATATATATACCATATATATGTATACTATATATATATACTATATATATATTCTATATATATATACTATATATATATACCATATATATATACTATATATATAAACCATATATATATATATATATGTATCCCATACACATTTGTCAGCGGAAATATGGCAAGAAATAGGCGAATATATATCATCACTCAAATGAAAGGAAATATATAAAGGGAAAATTAATCACTAAAACAAAACAATATTACAATGGAGCATTTTTATTGTTGGCCTTTGAATGGGAAAATGGAATACCAAGAGCCAGTTGAAGAGCCAAGATTCTGTTGGCTGAAATAATTATTTACCAAGACGTGTCAAGTATTCAGTACTTTATGAACTCATTTAGATTGCTTTAATTGCTTAATAATTTTTATAAATTGCCTAATATTGTATTTTATTGATGTAACATACCATCCATCATTAGTCATAATCATGATTAGGATCATATACAAACTTTTTTATACACACATTTGCTTGGATTTCTACAATTTACAAAATGTTCGTTGCCTGGCAGGTTCCATAAACGGAAAAAAAAAAAAGATAAAAGATACATATAAAAATTAATGCGGCAATTATATTTTTGCATGCAATATAATTCCGTTCGCAAACCAATTAAATGCGATATGAAAAAGGGTCATAAACAGAAGTCGATGGGACTGTTGAGGATTATCGCTGTTTTATGGAATTGTTTCGTTAGTCTTTGCCCCTCTTTGGGCGTGCGTGTGTGTGTGTGTGTGTGTGTGTGTATGTTTGGAAATGAAATTTAAAAGCACAACGCAAGGTAAATTAAAGCATATCAAAATTGCCTGCCACCAATTTAGTGGCTATTGTTGCTGCTGCTGCTGCTGTTATACAATTACTATATCAAATATTTAAATGTCTTTTGGCCTTTGAAATGAGCGCTCCGATCTGCTGCTGCGCTGCCAACGACGACGTCTATGACGCTGTGGCGGCAACGATGACAACACGGCGACAACAAACATCAATTGCGCCGCGGCTCTACAACGCCAATTACAATTAACAACTAAACAACTAATGCGTCTAACGTACGTACATACATATATTACAAAACCCAAAAATATAGTATAAACACTAGAAATATAGTGCCCACGGCGGCCGCTTTCACGTACATCGATTTGCGATTCAGCAATTTGGCATCCTTTTTATACTTCTGCGACATCATCGACAGGTTTTGCGTTTTTGTATCGAGCTCTGGAATGAATGCATTTATATTAACGTTAGGCTTAAACGAATGGGTTTGGACGCACCCGCCAAGACAGTGCCACGTTGCAGGACATCATCAATGTTCTGGACCATGATGCGCTGCACATCCTGCAGCTGTGTGTTGATGTTGCTGATGTTGCGCCTGCGATCAGTCAATTGCTTTTTCGCCTTCTGTATGTACACATCGAACTCAATGAAGGCGTAGGGGCGTGTCACCGAGTTGACACGTCTGCCATAGTTTGTGTGAAACTCCTGCGCCAGATCCTCCAGATAGTTGAATGCCAAGCGCTTTGAATACATTTTATCAACCATCACCAAGTAGCAGACATCGTTCTCGATAAGATAGCTGTACGGGTGCGAAGTCGAAATGGAAGTCAATGTACAAATAATTAATGTTATTTGGTTAATTGAATTGTTGTCTTTCAGTGTTGATAAACGTTTAATTACTACTCACTGGAATAAATATGGTCCTGTTTCGATGCTGCTGCGCGCCGGCGAGTGTGTGCCCAGCTTGCGAAATAGCATTTTCGCCTGATTTTGGTAGTCCAAGATGCTGCGACCGCTCTAATGCACAAAAAGTGAAAGTGTTTTCGTTTGAAAGCTATTAAGGTGAATGTGAGTGTGCGTTTTGTGTGCTAATCGACGCACCTGCTCATCGTCCTGCATGGTGCCCACCAGTGGCAGACCATCAATGACACGGGCAATCATCGTCAGCAGCGCCATGTCTATGCCTGTGTCCTCTCCTCTTTGACCTGGCCAACCTCAACGTAAGCCACAAATGAGTATGTGTATGCGTGTGCGTGTATGTGTGTGTGTGTGTGTGATTAATGCGTGCTTGCAGTCGACTGTGGCCACGGCTACAGTTTAATGCGGCTGGCTTTCCACTTGGTTTGTTGTTGCCGTGGCCGCTTCACCTCAGTGCTAACCGCTGTGTCCGTTGGTTTAGCTGTTGTTGCTGTTGTTGTTGTCGTTGCTCAGCAGTTGCCAACTTTCATTCGGAGCCTAAAATGTTGGCAATTGATAATTATTGAATTGTTTAACCCTGCACACTGTCTATATATATGGACTTTACCCAAATGATTATTATGTTATTCTGTGGGCAAAATCACGAATTCGCACATTGCCAGTTAAATATGCTAAATTATGTTGTGTGTGGATAAACTGATTCGTGTTTTTGTATTGCTGGAAACACGTCAGCGGCTAGCGCTGGGCCTGTCAAACGCCTCAACAATCATCGGAAAAGCCAAATCGAATTTGTGCGATAACATATCGATAGTTGGAAGCGCGCGCGCGCTATGGTGTGACAATCGTTCATTTCAAATTGTGACGAAATAAACAAGTTGTCATGAATAAATAAATAAATTGTGTAACCTAAATCAATTTGGTGAATTATGTACGCATATTGAAGCGAAAAACAATTTATAAAATAATAATAACAAAAACGATAACCTTATAAAAATGTTGACACGTAACCAATCAAAACTAACATTTGCTAAAAAATTTGTTCACCTCAAAATAATTGTTTATAAATTTTGAATATTGATAGATAGATCTAGATAACATCCTGGACAAACAGGCATTCCAGCCCTTCCTAAAATATTTGATGTCTTGGCACAGTTATGGAAACATAGCAACATGTGCCTTCTCGCTCTAGCATACAGCACATTGCACTGACATAGGCACAATGTGAACAAATTGTGTGCGTGACAAAATATGAACACTTGAATTGGGGCGGTTAACTTTATTAAATATGTTTATAATTGAATGCACTATTGTATATGTTGTATGTTGTGGCTGTTGTGGTCTGCTTTTATTAAAAATCAAGCGGAATGCAGACCGTGGCTCAACTACCTCTAAAATATGTTGAATTTCTTGTGCTGGCTGCTGCTGCTTCTGCTGCTCCTATTGTTTCCTTTATTAATGATCAACTAGGCGGCCTGCACCGATTGCTTCTGCGAGGAGCTTATCTTATCGCCCAGGCTAAGTGCCATGCCCTGCGGATGAACATGAACAATGAGTAAAAATAACAATGGAACGTAAGCAGAAACACGCACCTGGCTCTTAGCGCGTATACGTATGTGGCCAGTTACTTTCGAGTCGGGATCATCGACGGGCTTCTCAATGCTCAAGTTGGCTAAGGCGTTCTCTCCGAAAATGGATCTGGAATCGGGAATTGTTAGGCTGAAAGCTGAAAAGGAGCAGGCATTGTTTACATACTTGGCATACATGTTGGCGGCCATGAAGCCACATTGGCCAGAAAGCGCCTTTTCGGGCGTCAGGCACTTCATGTTGGTGCTCTTCAGCAGGTGCTTGAGATACTCGTGCAGATCTGTGAAGCTGGTGTTAACGGTCACCTTGTTCTCCCACTCAAAGTCCTGCCACATCTGGCGGAACTCGGTGTCTGTGCAGCTGGCCGGAATGATGTAATCCATGATGTCAATATGTATGGTGTTGAGTACCACGACGTTTGTATTCAGCGCCGTGTCGTAAACTGCGCAACGGAGGGATGCAATGGTCAAAAATAAGGCGGCTACATGTAAATCTCTTACTGGTCACTCACCTATATTGCCAAAGATGATGCCATTCTCTGTAGAGGAGACCTTTACGTTGGCCTTTATATTGCAGAAATCGTGCGGCGCGAGCACCACTGGATGCGGACGCTCCACCAGTTTTAGATCGCCCAATGTGGCCAGCTCCAATGTGCAGTTCTGCAGTGTGTCATCTGAGGAAATGGGATATTGAATGGGATCATAACTGGAAGAGATTTGAGTTACGCGAACTAGACTCACTTGTCTGGTTAACGATCAGCACGTCCAGCACAATGTCGTACTGGTTGACATTAACGTAGGCCTCGGCGTACACCGGATCGGAGAAGCCCGTTAGCTGGGTGACCTTGTTGAGCTTGCTGTTGGGCGAGGACATGTCGCTGAGCTGGGCGGTCTTGGTGCCAGCCAATGCCTGGTTCAAGCTGGATTCGAAAACATTTTCGCCTAGCTGATTGTCGCGTCCGTTTGAGAGCTGCGCAAACAGCACCGGCGAATCCGGCTGCACCTTGGCCGTGGCCCGCTGTTTCTCCTTCAGCATGCGCTGATCCTCCTCCGACTGGGCATCCAGCATCTTGCCGAGTGCGTCGCGGCAATCATGCATAAACACGGCCACCGCCTCTAGTGTGCGCTCGCTGAGCGTGCGCAGGCAAATCATGATGCGATCCGAGTCATCGTATGTGATGGGCTTGCTGGGAAAACCAGATTTGCCCAAATGCAATATGGAGCTCAGGATGAGCATCACCTGTGTGGTAAGACGGTTTTGTGTGCGTGCATCCGGCTCCAGCTCAGCATAGCGCAGCGCCAACTTGGTCAGCGTGGCCGATAGAGCAGCACCAATAAAGAAATCACCATCCATCAGATACTGGCGCAGCGGTGGTCGCTTCTCCTTCTTGGTTACGCTGCAAGAGATCGAGACAAATAAATGGCGCTCAAGTGTATGGAGTACGGCTTTAGCGACTTACGGTGCCAGACTGTAGGCGCTCTGCGTGGCATAGGTGCCATCGGATGTGACCTTGTTGCTGCTGCTAATGGCTGCTTCGCCGCTGGCAGGCGTGCCCGATTGTTGTTGCTGCTGCTGCTGCAGCTGCTCCTCGGTCTGGTCGCCGGCGAGGCGGCGCTGCTCCGCATCCACCATGGGTATCTCGCCGAGTGTCTGCTGTATAGCCGCAATCACCTCGAGAATCTGTTCGCCCTCGACATACTCGCCCAATATCCAGACGGCAGCACGATGGATCTTTGATGATTTGATTTGTGGGAAGGCCTCAATCAGATGCTTTATAATTAGCCCGCGCAGCGCAGGGAACTTTTGTATTGCTTCGCGAATAAAGATCAGCACATCGACGGCGGCCAGCTCGTTTGTGTCGGAGAGGAACTCCACCAGCACTGGTATCACATTGCTGGCCACATCCGGGAACTTGATGGAGCAAGTGTGCAGGGTGCGCACCAGAAGCTGGCGATACTTGCCAGTATCCTCGTGCTCAACGTTGTGCGTCTTGGCCACCTCTTTCTGCAGCACCTGCACCATTTCGTTGATATTGCGTGAGTAGACCAAGTCCATGGCCAGGGCCAGAGTCTTGCGGCGCACCTCGATGTCTGGGGCGGCAAGCACGCGCAGCACATCCATTACCAGATCCTGCATGACCTTCTCCATGTTCTCGTTCTCCTTCATGGCAATCAGACGGTCCAGCACAATGAGCTTCACATTGTTATCACTCTCCTTCACAATCAGCTCAATGTAGCAGCCGGCAGCTGCTTTTATTGCAGTCGGCGCCAGCGAGAGCGTAATCAGGGTGCCGGCGGATTCGTAACGCACCGCATTCGACGACGAATTGAGAAGATTGTAGATGCAACGTATGAAGCGCGAACGCTCGGCAGGATTGGCGTGGCACACCTTATAGATGAGCTCCACAATGACCAACTGGAGTATGTCGCCGAAGCTCTGCACCTGATCGATGCACGAGGCCAGATAGTTAAGGGCACGCTCCTGGTCGGCGTGCAGCAGCATAAGGAAGGCGTTGCGCTTGCACGACATGTCCTGCTGCGTGTCCAGGAAGCTGGCAATCAGCTCGGGACCGTCTGGCACCAGCCAATCAAAGTTCTTGTATATGGTGAATATGGCCAGGACAGCATTGCGGCGCACATACGAGTGGCGATGATCCAGACAGGCCCGTATGGCCGGCATCAGGGGCTCCAGCAGCTCCGGTTCCTTCAGCTTGCACAAAAAACGCAACGTGGAACCGCGAAGAAACTCGTTTGGATGTTGCAAGTCCTGAGGAAATGAAGCAGGTACGGTCAGTTGCCAGCTGGGATTGGACTGACTGCGTACTCACCTTGCGGTAGGCATCGCACACGAGTATCATCTCCTGGAGGAGCTTGCCATCGGCCGAGGTCTTCGGCACAATCTCCCAGAAGATGAGTAACAGCTTTTTGATCGTGTGATTTTGGACGGGCAGCACGAACCGTATAATGGTCATGATGAGACCCGGATAACGCTCACCGTTCAGCAGCAGCTTGATCACCTTCTTGAGCGTCTCGATTTTTACATTCGTGTCGCCTTTTTCGAGGTCTTGCTTCAGCTGCATCTCGTTCGGCACCTCGAGGTCCGGCGAGTTGATGATCGTGTAACACGGCACTTGGGTCATCTTTGCACCAAACTAACCAGCAACGCTGTCCACGATTTGTATATCGAATTGTATAGTTAATTGTATAATTTATTACCGATTTATTTCACTGTTTGCCTCCCAATATGCAATTCACTTGACGTGTCATTTGTTTCGAGGCAAAAGTTCAGTGTGACCAGTTCTCCATATTTTGACAGTAGGCATGTGTGACCATATTGCAGCTATAGAATCGGATGCGTGTGCCAGACTAGTTAACTAAAATGCCACCAGGCGGCGCTCACACTTTTAGTGTTAACAAATGCGGCAAGAACAATCAGTGTTGCCATTTGGCGGGTAATTTAAATTGCCATTTGAAAATGTTTGTTTCGCTTGGTTTTAAAAATTACGTAAATTCTAGAACAAATTTTGTGGTTTTTTACACTGTTTATCGCTAAACTGATTCTGCCTGCTTTCCTGCTTTCCATTTCATTTTATTATGCATAACAACAGTAATTCATGGCAATAAAAATTGACCGCGCTGCCCCCGCACTACACCCAAGACTGAGATTTGATTCAATTTGAATTTAAAATTCCCCGTACGTCATTTGGAAAGTCCCGTCGTGCTGCGACAATTCGTCGTGTTTTTCAATTGACCTTTTAATACAAGTGCAATTTACACACACACACACACACACACACCCTAGTTATCTACTCTGTATGCAGCCAGAGTTATGCACATCTAGAGGACTATTATGAATAATATAAACTAAGCACTTATATAGCGGCAACATTTAATTGGTTCAACTCGGTGCCCTGACCAAAAAGTGCACCATTCGTAAGCAGTAATAACAATAAATAAAATACATAATTAAGTTCGCCCGCTGCGATACACGCTTAAGAATAACTTTTGTGATCTTGTTTATCCGACTTTTCCAGCGAATTTCATTTAGCTTCGTTTATAAGCCCGCCGCCCACCACAAAACCGACAATTTGTTTTGTGACCACTGCCGACCCCGCCATGCCCCGCCCCGCCCCACCCTGCCCCTGCCCCTGACCATTGCGCACTTGCATTTTAAATAGATCGCA